TTTTTATTTTTTGAATTATGCGTGTATAAACTTAACGCCTAGAACTAAATTCTAGAACTAGAACTATAACTCACAGCAATACTTATTAGATATATTTTTGTGATTCTACTTATATTGTAAAAAATAGCTAAGAAACCCCTCACCGGTTATCAACGCACAATGTTGAATATAATGATTTAATATTGGGTGATTTAATATATTGGGGTTAGAATATATACTAAATCATATATATATTAAATAATTAGAAGTGACACAAGTTGGAGTTAAGTTTAATAAATTATAGTCTAATATATGTTTAGAAATCATTAACTGTAATCGCTTTTTAAGTGACGAAATTGTCGGTAATCATATTCTATATATTATATAGCACATGTGTTTTATAATCTTGATGAGATAAATCAATCTCATCTGTCAATCCATCAGCGATTTCTATCAATCTGGCGATGTGCATCAAGCTGGGGATAACTATCAAGCCAGCGAGGTCCATCAATTTGGCTATGTTTATGAATCTGGCGATGTTCAATAATCTGTTTATTATTAGCGAAACTTCCATTAACAAAAATCAAGTAAATGTCGAGTAATTTCTCATAGTCCTATGTCTATGTCATGAACCAGCACATAATACATATATCGAAAATGTGTTGAAAGGTACAGAATGATTGTGGGCAGTAGTTAAATTTATTAAACCATACCAGCATAAAATTTTTAAGTATCTGACTCAAATCAGCTATTGTGAGCTTCTAGTTTGTGTGTTTTTGTGCATATTTCGTCTTTTCTGTTATTCTTTCCAGCATGATTACTAGACCAGATGCCGTCAACTGTTTTTGTAATGATAAGTAAGAACAATAAAAGCATAAACTCCATGGCATATAAAAACCATCATTCCTTTAAGCATCACTTCGAATTAAAATCTGTATAATTTGCTGGGATTGCAAATCTCTTTGTGGGTTCGCTAATTTTACAATTTTATTTCTTTTTTATTAAGTGGCTGGTTTTTGAATTCCAGATACACGTGGGGAATCTTAGGACGCTTAGCAGTTGGTATGAAATATCGACTTTGACTGCGAATGGTTTCCCATTCATTTTATAGTGATTTACTTGATCAGCGACATTTGTTGATATTTTGTTTGCTGAGTTTTGCGGATTGCATGCGATTTATTTCGTTTCTGAGCTATAATTTTTTAATATATATGCATATAAAATTCTTTCATACCCTACACTCTATTGCAAATAATGAGTACATTCGATTTTTAAAGGTGTTTGTAACGTGTATGAATACATTTTAGACCGTATTAAAAACTATTATTTTCGATTTTTACTAATATAGATTAACTAACTATTAGAGCTTTTACAGAGAAACTTTGATTCTCAATGTAACGAGTTTGGACGTGATTGAAATTGGTGGATGAAGTACCCATACAAAGCAAATATCTAAAATGGGCTTATAAATTTTCTTCTGTAAGATTTGATGCCAAAAAATAAGGTGAACAGCAAGTATATGAAAACTCTATGTGTGAAGGGTATTGAAGCTTCGGCACAGCCAGTGCGAACACTTTTTCTTGATTTTATTAAAATGATCTTTAAATGGCATTATGAGCTGTGCGGTTCATTAAACGTGCTGATCCTGCTTACAGATCGTGCGCAACAACATTTTGTTGCATAAGGGTTTACATAGCCGTAGCATTTTTGGAGTGAGTCGTTGAGCTATTATGGGTGCGCGTTGTTGTTCTGCTTCTTTCAAGTTTAGAATGAATTTGATCAGCGTGAACCTCCCGAGTGTTAATTTTGTTTTATACTTTGAATTTGTTTTTTTTAGGAAGCAAATAATATTATGCTGATCGTGTGGCATTCTCTTAAATTTATTTAGTGATTTGCAAATTGCTTATATAAAATGAATAAATCGGTTGAAGTGGTATAATTGAAAGCCGCAGACACCACGCTATTACGCTATTGTATTGGGCAGAGTCACGTATTTAGATACACAAACTTATTTAAAAATGTGTTTAGGGATACTAAAGATACAAGTTTTTAATCTGTTGTTATCAAGTACTACATAAATTAGGGTAACTTTTGATATCAATAATATTCACTATTGTTTGATCGAATTAATTTACGCAAGATTGAGCTAAAATTCTAAAATATTTTAATTAATATTTTGTTTTGAAGACAGGCTAATTTTGTTGTTGTTGTTGGTGTTGTTGTTGTTGTTGTGGT